ACTAATGTTCTTATGAGTCAAAGAACATTCTTATGAGCCAGAGAATGTTCTTATGAGCCAGAGAACATTCTTACAAGTAAGAGAACATTCTTATGAGTCAGAGAATGTTCTAATGAGCCAGAGAAAATTCTTATGAGTCAGACAACGTTCTTACTTCTCTCCAGAGAAAAAGAGGTCTCCTAGTGTGTCATCCTTTTCCTCGAGTGTGGCGGGACCCTCAGAGGTTTCGGACCCCTGGGAGCTTTCCACAGCACTGTCTCGGTCCGACTCCCTCGCCACCCCTTCCTCCGGCTCTTCTTCTGCAGAGAACAACTGGAACTCAGGTTCCGGATCTGGAGAGGTCAGAGTACACATGATGACCGGACAGACATGCTCCTCACCACCCTGGAATAAGATCAGACCAAAGGGAAACACAGAATGAAAGTGTTTACATGTTCCAGAGCTTCAACATAACATGATGAGGAGGAATGAAACATCTCGTAAAAACTCTGTAATCAGAAATAAACCTGTTAAAAATAACACCTTACAGAATTTCAGATTGTGCATATTAAACCTTACATTAAACGGGCTTATTTTAGGTCATAGATAGTGCTCAAATATTGTGCTAGTTAGTAATTATTTCAAAAGTAATCACAGAATTAAAGCAGGTCTCCCTTGTTTGGCATCAGGAGATCTACACATAGATCAATGTTTTAGTGGAGCAAAGTCAAGTCAAAGGTCAAATCGTGTTTTAAAGCAGATTTTCGACCGAATAGGTTCCTTCACTGTGGGGGGAATCCTCAGATCATAGAGGAGTGAAAGGTCAGGGGTCATCCTCAGTCTTCTTTCTCTAAACTAAAACAGCTCAAATCCGTTCTAGTGCATCTGAGAACATGGCTTCTCTCAGAATGACTGAACAAGTGACTCAGAAGATGACTGGTGTGTCAGAAAAAGTTCTGGTGGACGTACACAGATAAAATGGATAAATTGTGGAAGAGACGATGCAGCACAGGTTGAAGAGGAAGGGACAAAAAGACATGAGCAAAACCAAGGAGAAATAATAAGAAAGTAAAGATGATGAGACAGGAGTGAGAGCTCTGAAGAGCAAAGAGAGGATGTTGTGGAACGATACAGATGTGCTGGCTTGAAAAGAGTGCTTAGAAAAAGAAATAGTTTAAAAAAACAGGTTAAGGTTTTTGATTTCTTCTTCAATCGTGGAGGAAGCTGCTGTGCTCAGAAAAGCAGAGTCCTTTAAAAAGTTGAAGGACCACACCAAAAAGCTGTCAGCACCACAGTGAAGCACGGTGGGGGCAGCATTATGCTGTGGGGATGTTTTAAACCACAGTGAAG